TAGCGATGGCTAGGCACTGGACTGCACTTTTTGTAGGGATTTGTTCACTAATTCTGAAAAAGTCTGGAATATTAGCTTATGCAGATGCTTCGCTTGCCAGCTGTTAGTTAGGATGAGTTCATTCAGATTTTTAGTGAGCAATCGCAGTATAGTCATGTTCTGAGCAACTGCAGGTGCTCTTATCGTGTTCATGATACAGAAATAAGTGAAATGCTCATGATATAGATGTAATCGTGACAGCTGTCTGACTGTTCTGGCAATACTTTGTGCCCTTCAAGTAAGCTTACTCGGATTGCGATCTTTAAAACATCACGATGGAAAGAGACATGAAAGCCGGGCACTCTTCTTCTTCGGCGGACCAAAACTGGTTCAGTTTGGAAAATACCGTGATACCATTGCTTTCTTCGATGCTGCACATGTGTGGAGTGCTGTATATTGTTGCTTGCACACACAATGCCTTTTTTTTTCCTTTTCGCTTTCTTTCCTTTCGTCGAATTATTACTATTAATTGATGAAGTGTTTGCATGCGCTTTCAGTGTCTTTGAGTGCTGCTAATAGCGTGCCTGAATCACCTTCAACGTATGCCCCACCGTCTGGCGCCGGCGCCGCTGCCCATGCTCAATCAACGCCGTATTCTGCTAGGCTCGCACGACAGTCCGGAACCGTAATTTATTCATCCGAACAAGGTGGTAAAGGTACCGTCACTACGCTATATTTTTTTTTAATTTTTTGTCGAAAAAGATTTGTATAAAAGGCCGGGAAATTTACGAAAATTGAGCGGTATATGATTGCACTATATACCTTCGTCTCCCCGCTTCTCCCTCTCCTCCATATGTCTTAAAATACTGCTATGTTGCCCTTTTCGGCCGATATTTTTTCGTGGAGAGAACTGTGAATAAAAGTTTTTTGGCACGCAGTTTAGCTTAAGAGAGTCTGACGCAGTTGTGCGAGCCATATAGTTACGCTTTTAGCACTGCTTGCTCCAAACTGATAGTTCGGAGTTGCTGCAAATTTTTAGAAAGCGTGGAGCATACGACCAAGAATTTAAGGAAGATCCTGATACAGTATTGAAGACTGTAGGCCAGTAGTTCTTTTTATTTTTGTGCTACTGATGATAGCGCGCTTTGGACTTTGTACATCTAATTTAAAGCATTATTGCTGAACAGGACGAAACTTGGCGCGTATTTGACGTGCCATGCGTGTAAGTCCTAATCAGAAAGACCTTTTGAACTCACTAAAATTCTTCCACTAGCAAACTGCGGAATCCCTTCTAACCCTTTGTTTGCGTTAGTGTGGATTACTTCCTAACATAATGAAATGTTTTGCCATAAAAGGAGCTCGTTTCTGATTTGTCGGAGGGTTTTCCAACGATTTTTTGTTAGCAATCACGAAGTGTCTCGGTTCCACGCATTTTACATTTCATTTTTTTTTTTTTGCACTTTGATAGATTATTACGCCAGTGGCATGAGCAGCACGATGGATCATATCGCTAAAATTATTAAAATTCGAAACTAAACGAGCGGAGGCACCTTTATCTATAGTATTTTGATAGCGCATTAGCAGTAGCGTTCTGTTCTTGGCAGGAGTTTTGATCATCCTTCCATAGACTACTTGAGAAACGAAGCAAAAAAGAAAAATGGATTGGCTCGTGAATACTAGGCCTTCGTTTTACCAAAGATTTCTGAACTGTTGCGGCTAGTTTGCTAATATGATTGGCTACTCATGGTATTCCTAGATGACGTTGGTGTGCCCTGGTCAGGCTTGTTGAAGGATCCAGATGGGGTAGGGATGCCCAGCATTAATTTTGCCAATTCGAGGGAAGGGAGGATGAGCAGTATGCAGATCTACGCCCCTTTGTTAATGAAGTGGATAGTGTGCATTTATCAGTTTACCACTTTTTTGAACATTTTGAGTTGTTCGAATTTTATTTAAAAAAAAAGTTTCCTTACGTTCTTTGGCGTGCGAACTGAAAGCATACAAAAGAGTGCTGTTTTTTCCACTTTCTTTTTTTCTGCTAATCCAAATGTGAGCAATAATTGTTACAGTGCCTATCCAGAAACGTCAGGTTGGTAGCATAGCTGATTACGATCCCCTAAATGGGAATTGGGGTACGGTAGGATCGAGTCGAGCCGCGGAGAAGATTGGTACGCTATTTTGATGCTTCATTCATCTATATTCTTTCAACTTCTTGCCGTTTCGCTTCATTTCTTTTGTGTTCGTTTGCGCGATCACATTGTTGCATATTAATAGTTTGCACACATCGCGTGCGTGCAACGTAAAGCGCTACAAGGATTTTCGAGGCTAAAAATTTCCTATTTCTCCGTGCTGGGCAGTGCTGCTTTATCTGTGAGTGTACCTTTTTTTCAAGCTTCCTCTTCTCGTCCAAGCTTTGCACTGAAATCATCCTCGATCGTGACTGTACTTGAAATTTCGACGATAAAAATTAAAGTCTGTTTGGTATTAGATCATTAACTGATGTAAACAGGATTGATTCATACAAATTTTAAAAAGAAATGCTTGAGGAAGAAGACTAGCTGAGCGTAAAAAACATAATAAATCAGTCAAAAGAGTTTGTGTCTTCCCAAGAACTGCTGTTTTGTGAGTTTGTTATTGTGGCTGTGTTGATGCTGCAGTAATTTTAATACGCTTTTCTGTGCTCCTGTGAGCAGTCATGTGTGTGTGTCTAGTTTCTGCGAAACTACTTTTTCTTTGCTTTCGGACGAACACTTCAAAAGATTTAGCGCTTCCTGATTTTTCCTCCAAATACTAAAGACTTGCTTTATCATTTTTATCAGCTGTTGCGAAAGATCGGCGGAACAGTTACCAAAAGTAATTTTTTTGGGACGGCGGAGTAAATTATATATATTGCGTTTCTTAGGTTTTTGCAAAGCGAGGTTTGATGTAATAAAATTCAAAAGCTGATTTTGCTTGAGATCTGCGCAGATATCTTTGTGTATTTGATCAGATTAGATATGCTGGACATCGTTATCCAGAAAAAGGGCTGTTCTGTTCGGGAAAGAGAAATGTGAGATCCATTTGAGCCGTTGCAGCATGAATAAGGAAAACTGTAATTCTTAGCCCGCGTAAAAATTTTTGATCTAGCACAGGCAGTGCTAGTCGTGTTTTCTTTTTGGAAGTCATCTTCACTCGGTTTTTGCAGGTTGCTTAATACGACTGTCGATTTTATGTAGGCATTTCTTTAGCTAAACACATTAAAATTGGTTTTTCAGGTCAGTTGACTGGTTCAAATATCAAAGCAAATGGACCGCCGAGCGGAAAAGGGACAGGATTTGCGGTGAAAGCACTTTATGACTACACAGCAGCAGATAGAGATGAGGTTAACATCACTGTCACTCGGTTTTGATTAATTTTGTCATTCTAATCCGAGCTTTTCGTGTATCATTTATTTTGTAATGTGGGAGTTTCATTCCTCACTCTTATGTCCAAATGCTAAATTTATCATTCGTAATATCACTGTATATGAACACAAAAGAAATCTGAAACTGTTTTTCATATTTTTGGCTTCATTACATATCGAGGGGCTATTGCCATTCTGGAAATTAACAAATTGCTTAGCTTAGAAAAAAAATGTGTGCTTGAAAAATTCTCAAATTTTCAAGCGTGGTGTTTTTTCATACTTTTACTGAGATTTTGCGTACAGTGTGAATTCTTATGATCGTTCTGTTCTGTTTTTTTTAATGTTCTTGAGAAAAAGGTTAGGGATAGTGTTTGAAATGCAAGGGATTTTAGTTTCTTTTAAAAAAAAGTGGCATTTTTTTGAGAAAATCTGTTTTTTTTAAGATCATGTATTTGCTGAAAAACATC